ATCCATCCTCTCCCAGGACTGAAATGTCTTTTGTTACTCTTTTCGGTGCTTTTGTAACTATGATTTTTTACATGGCAGGGTTGTTGGCCTTGCGCACAACCACTTGGGGGGTTGCCCCTCACAGCTCAATGGGTAGCTGCCTTTGTTCGGGTTAGGTCCCTAGCCTTTGTGGATCCCTCCACTTCCTACAAGGCAGTAGGGCTGATTTTGGTCCGCCCCGGGTATTTTATTTCCCCGGTACCCTCCATATCTGGCGGGCTTTCCCCAATCCGCCAGCTGGGGAGGCGCTCGATAGAAGATCAGCATCTCCCACGAGGTAATATATTGTACTGATACTAATCATTATGTGCTGACTTGAATCCTAAAACAATCTTAAAGCACTGCTTTGCCCTTGGTCAAAATATCTGTAAATACTTCTGTTTGAAATTAATACTGGTACTCTATTTAAAATTATTTTCTTTAACTTTAAAGAAAGCTAAATTTAAAAAAAAAGCTAACCTGTTGCCCTTAAACAGAAGTCATTTTGTAAATATTTTTGTTAACTCTGGGGGACGCATTTTTCAAATCTTGGGCACTAGATTTTTTGTGTGATGGTTCTGTTAATGGTCATTTACCAATAAATTACAGATCAATAAACAAGCATGACATGGGTTGACCAAAAAAAAATAATTAAAAAAAAAAAAATAAAGTTAAAATTAGATATTGGGAATTCCCTAAATAATAGGATGAAGGTTTTCTACTGAAGTAGTAAAGTGAATGTTAAAAATGTGCATTAGGTCAAATTTTTGTACCGTGACTAGTGCAGGAGTTATGATGGCCCAGTTAATCTTCCACCACATTTGACACCAGGAATTGAATCGAAGACATCGACAGAATTTCACTCCGATCATTAACTGAAGGTCTTTAATAAACCTAGAAACACCTATTGATTAAGAGCCCCCAAAAAAGAGTTAACCACAGGTATGTCTTATTAAAAGTAAACAAGTCTTTGAAACATTTACCTTTAATGTTGACAACTAAGCACAACTACAATGTATTTTAAATTGACCTGCCAAAAATTTCAGCTATGAATACATGTATTATAAAAATTATAAATTATTTCACTTTTGGTTATAATGAATCGGTAGTATACCAGTAATGGAACATAAGTGATATTGGTCATTCATCCACAACTATGTAGACGTACCATAGACATTGACAGCAATACACTCACAGAATGCTATCAGTAATACATTCCAACCAGATGAGTTGGCATCCAGCAGTTTCAACACTTCCATTCCTCCCTGTTAAGTATGCAAAGTTTGCTAGTGGGGTGATGGGTGAAATACACAAAGTCTGCTAGTGGTGTGATGGGTGAAATACACAAAGTCTGCTAGTGGTGTGATGGGTGAAATACACAAAGTCTGCTCGTGGTGTGATGGGTGAAATACACAAAGTCTGCTAGTGGTGTGATGGGTGAAATACACAAAGTCTGCTAGTGGTGTGAGGGTTGTTGTTAAGTAAACAAACACTGCTACTAAGTGCTACTGCTAGTGATGTGATGGGTTAAATGCATAAACTCTGATAGTGGTGTGATGGCTTCATTTGTTTCATGATAAAACCCATATTACACCCATGAAGAATGTTTAAGATATGCAAGCATGATTTAATGAATTTTACAATTTAAAAAAAAACTAACCTTTGTGAAGACCAAAAAAAAACCACAACAAGAACACAATGCTGCACACACAGAAAGTCAAATAGGTTAACTTTTAATTTTGGATTTATGTGAGCTGTTAAGTCTACAATTTATGGGATAAAAATTGATTTTTCACATTTATTTCCTTGATTCTATTTTCATTAAATAATGATGCAGGTCTGGGTCGCCATTGTAATTAACAAAACTTCTCTATGCTGAAGAATTCCTTGGAAGTTCCATATATGTTATTATGGAATAGCACACACTGGAGATAGTTTTAATAATGTAAGTTTAATTTGTCTCAAAAATAGCTAAAATATGCTGCTTGTAATTCCATTTAAAAACACAAAGTAAGATACAAAATGCCCGTATGGGTCTAGACCAAAAAAAAAGAGGCAAAAATGAAGTAAAAAATATCAAAGTCCTACGCTGTCACTAGTTTGCTTTTCAAGAAGCATCATTATGTATTGAAGTATTGTTTTCTCTTCATGTGTCTGATTTTATTCACAAATATTTGTACTTTGATATAGGAATACCACCTTGTTAACTTATCTTGTTTACATACGTTGCATGTAAGAGGCAGACCAAGTAAAAACATGATGAAGCAAATAACAGTACAACATGTACTCTTCCTTCTTCTGAGCTCAGGATGTAAATCAACAATTCCTGTTATTACTGTCTCAGTTAGAACAAACTGTTGAAATAAAGCAGTAGTCATCATAGCTATACTATATCGAATGGTAGCAAGAAAAATCTGTAATCGCCTATCAGTATATGCATACTTATTTCAATTAAATAACAAAACAAACGATGGACTAATAGATGATATAATCTGTTGCCACAGCTTATTGGTGGTACTTTTACTTTCAAGTCCGCATACATTTATGCTAAATCTAGTTTCTTTGGGGGAGATGGGATGTTTGAAGCAGTGGCCTTCAAATCAGTGGTCTGTGGACTTACATCATACTGCAAGAGCCTTAGTCGCAGCTCAGCAAATTGTGGAACAAAAAAAGAAAAAGATAAAAGAACCAGAAAACCTAAATTTGGTTGCAAAGGGATTATTGATACCCTGAGATTGAAAAGTTTCAAAGCACTGTTATATTGTCTAAATTATTGGAGCTCAACTGACCTGACTGTCAATGCCAAGAAGTATAATGGTAATAAAGAATACAACACTCCAAAAGCTAGTTCCCGGCAGCTTGGTTAGACAGAAGGGGTAAATATGAAAAGCCAAAGCTGGTCCTGAAATAAAACGAAAGATACAAATTTGTCTCATGGTGTAATATATTATAGTTTGGAGTGCAAGTGACTTGCTTTGGACTGCTCATTAACTAGCTGAAAGTCATCAAAGTTTAAATTACCAGCACTGCATGCACTCACCAGTCCCTCTCATATTCAACTAACTATAAGTTTCAAGCATAATTTATGTTTCACTTCCATTATGGCCAGCTTTTTTACGGGATATATTAAAATCAGATGTATCAATAAAGTTTATACTGATACCACTTTCCAATCATATTACATTTAAATGATGGGAAATTGGATTAAGACACAGGCCTCTATATTTTTTCACAAAGAAGGAAAAAAAGCAGTCAGCTGTTTTTTAAAAATTACAAGTTGAGAAGTAGATCTAATTTGTTAAGTACATTTGTGCCTCTACCATGCATTTTCCTCACTGAGGTGGATTTGCATTGCTGAATTCATTTGTTAACACAAAATAACAAAATCATAGAGGATCTTTTCATTATATCATATCAACCTCCTCGTGGGATCCCTTAATGGTCTTAAGTCATTAAAAAAATTGTACACTCATGGCCACTTTTGTCATAATTAATTTGTGTGTCCTGTATGTGAGCAGCAGATCTAAGTCAAACTTTGGCTGCACCCATTTGAGAAGAAATATCTTTTTTGATAGCTTTTTTTCTTCTGTTTTTGTTTGTGCTATATTGTACTTGTATATATTCATATTCCAAAAACAATTGTGATTAGAATTCACTTGTTGATTTTTGTCTATTTGTTTTAATTAGCTTCATAATGTTATCATACTAAGGATGTTGATATTGTTTATTTGTTTTTTTAACCGGTTTAGAAATATGGTTTTAAATCGGTTTCAGTATCAGTTTTTACATGCATTCTTAATAATGTTTCCTACAGCATTGGTCAGTTTGACAGTATATTTATAAGATCTATTTTCAGAACTGTCGAAGCAATTCTGTTTGCTGTTACATATTCATATCCAGTGGCGTAGCGAGGGTGTTTGGCGCCTGGGGACAAGATTCGCGCCCGGGGACAAGATCCATTTTTAGCGTCCCTTTTTCTTTTTTTCCAACTCTAAAACCCATTATTTTCATCAATAAAATAATATCAAAGCACATTTTGGCGCCCCTAACTAGCTGGCGCCCGGGGACATCTGTCTCCCCCTGCCCCCACCACGCTACGCCTCTGTTCATATCACCCTTTAGTATCAACCTCTTTTTCCTCGCTCAACGCTGGTTCTTTCTATTAATTTTTTTTATTTAAGTGTTAATAAAAAGATATGAATTGCTAAAATATTTTCTTTAATTAGTGATAAACACTGTGTCGTTTTGTAAAAATCAACAACCCCTTATCCGCTTCAAAACCAATGACCGGTAATCCAATTATCATTTAATATCCTAAATTCGTACATACCTGAAGCAGCTACGTTACTTATTGGTGTGTTCAAATCACGTGCCAAAAATCCCAGAAACGAAAAGACAACAAACCCAGCAAAGATACTTGTCAGGCTATTACCAATACACACAAAAATTGAGTCACTGGAAACAAATAAAACCAATTGTCTCGTCATTAAATTTGGTCATTCAGAATGAGTACGAATTTTTTTTATGGTGTACCCTAAGAAATGCTTTAAAACGTAAGCATTTTTAACAGATATTACTTAATTTTTTAACCAAAAAATATCATATTGAAAAGTATCTCGCACGAAACCTACCTTAAAATGTCATTATGAAATTTGTTGTAACTGGACAAAGTTATCAGGCCACCATAAGAAGATGAAAGACTAAAAAATATTTGAACTGCTGCATCTTTCCAAATCTAAATTTACATGGATACAAAATAATAAATAAATAGAAGCAATAAATAACAAGTAAAGAGATGTTAAATGACTCAAAAGGGATCTAAATTTTAACATGTTTTAGCAGTCTTTACAGTTTTAAAACACAGATTTATTCACAAAAATTTGTATTATTTTTTAATAACTCAAATGAAAAAAAAATCTTTACAAATGATCATAACATATTTTTAACTGGCATATTATAACATTAAGTGAGGTATTTTACATTGGATAATATATGAAATATGCAGGGAAATATGAGAGCAGCAGATGCACTAGCACATTAGGGAGCATCAAAAGAACAGCAAAAATAACTAAATAACGTCAAACTTTAATCTTTGGCACAGGACACATCCAACTGAACTTACACCCTCATAAAACTAGATAAACAGCCATGTGCCCCCTCTACCAACATCTCAATGAGACTTTAACACAACACCTCTTTCACTGGCAGCACTCCAGGACGTACGTTTTAATTATTCATCACAAATACCGACTACATTAACATTTTAAATGCAGACTAAACAACTAGAGAAGATCTGCAAAATTATCTATATGGCCAAAGAGCAATAGCCCAAGTGGCTGCTGGATTGGGAAGATGATGATATTTATTTACAAAGTAAAAATTTACTAAATAATATTTCAACATTCATTGTTACCCTTGGAGACTTAATTGCAGTTATGTTTGGTGATATATAATACATTATTCCTTCCAATGCACCATCAAGGTAAAGGCCACGAAAGAGAAGAATAAATAGCATCAGATAGGGCATCGTGGATGTGATATAAACAATCTGAAAATTTAGTATAAGTCAAAATAAAGCAAAACTTTAATTAACAACTTACATCTAGAATGACTGAGAAAACTTATTGCTGGCTTTTACCATGATCTGTTTAGATCTTAAGGTTCATCACAGTAGTATCCCTAACAGGGTGCAGACAGCACCAGGTAAAACCCTCCTAGAGGTGACACCAAATGAAAAATTAAAAATTTGACAGAGCCCGTTTGGGTCAGTTTTATAACAGATCTAGGTTAAATTAAAAAAGCAGGGTGCCACCAGTGCAGGAAGTCACCGAAACAGGATTTCACCAGACAGAGCAGGGTGGCACCAGAACAGGGTACCACCAGATCAGGGTGCTACCAGAAGTCTGGAAGAGGTGAAACCATGAGTTAACCTCATTTGGTGATTTCAACCCTAGTGATGCCACTGGTTCTTCATTCTGTTTTCGCTCAGTTGTTTTATGAAAACAATTTCCATTCTTCATTGCATCCTGCCAAAGTATAAAAATCTACGGATAATAACTTTCATAAACAATTGAAAACCTGAATTTTTTTTCCATCAGATTTATTTTTGCAGCCATGGAATGTATCTTTTAGGATTACAGCCTTTTTGTATAGTACTGTTTGTTATGCACCAAGATAGCCCAGTAATTGCAACTATGTTGCTAATGTTTTCCCATGGAAGCATCCAGTGGCATTTTTTTTTACTCAGGGTTTCCGGCTTCTCCCAAAGAAAAGTTGCCTTACATAGCTAATGATTCCATTTCATCTATGTTACTCTTCGCTTAGGGACGATCTGACAAAATTTACTACTGCTACCTCTTGGTCAAGAGGCGGGCAAAATTACTGTTGCCAACATTATTTCATATTCTGGTAAATTTTATTTTATAGTGATAACTACTATAATTAGTTAACCTATATGAAATGGTAAAGAATTTAAAACATTTTGAATTGTGCGTTTCCCTAATTTAAATAGGAGAGAAATAGACGTTTTTCTTAAATTTGTCATAGGCTCCTCCATTAGTTGTGTAAATGAGTTGTCTCCTTCTGAGCAACCAATTTCTAATTTTGTAAAAGCTGAATTAAGCATTCGTTTGAAAATATCAACATACTTTTCCAGTGATCTTTATTCCTTTAGCTAAACATAGGAGAACTAAGAGCCATGCCAGAATTAGACACAAAACTAAATCAAGTCTCATTGGTCCAATATTAGATATATCATAGCCTTCTGTTGCCCCTAGAACCCTCCGCCTGCAAGTAAGAAAAATACAGGTATATATTTAAAAAAATCATAAATTCATCATTACCATATGAATATGTCTAAAACATAGTTAAGTTTCTAAAAAAAAAAAAATTGATTCATCAAAATACCCTTAATGAACATTAATAAAAAAATTCTTTTAATGGGCCTTATTTTAAAAATTGCATTTATTTTCTTACTCAAAATATTCCTTTGCAGGAAAGTTGACATATATTCCATTTGCTTGGGCTAAGGTAGTATTCCATAACCAGACAGTGCCATTAGATTCTTTTGAGTTGCACAGGCCATTGGGTAAGGGTGAACCACTCTCATTCTTGCAACCTTCTAGCGTTGTGTATCGCACTCTCTCGCTACAGTCTTGCAAAGATATAATTACAATTTTGCAATGTATAATGATAGAAAAAAATCATCTAATCAGTACTTGTGTATCTCATGGTTGCCTTCATGAACATTTAAAAAAACAGAAAAGAAAAAACCAGGTCTCAATGATTTATAATCAAAGTCCACAAAGTCAAGCAATTTAACACATTAAGTATTACTGTGTTTTTTTCTTTGTCTATACTGTGAACTAAATGTGATTTTTAAGGGTCCTATTATAAGATGTCAGCATATTTCAAGCATAAACTAGAGAATGTATGACTAATAATTATATTTTATATATTAGCATGCGAAAATTAAAAACCTTAGATTAAGATTATACCTTAGATTACAGCCTACCATAGATTATACATTCATATTACAGGCCATCAGGTATTATCCAATAAATGCTAGTCTTCTATTATTCAATTAGTTAAGATCATTCAAATTATCTGTAAGATTTAGATATTTCTTTTTTCAATTGAAAAAAATAATTTGAAATCAACAAACGTCCTACAAGGTGTGCTCCAGTCACCACAGTGGTACCACGGCACTTCTGGTGTAAGTGAAATGAAAATGTAGAAAAAAGCCCATGCAATAATCATGTTGTAGAAAATGCATGTCAGAAACGTCACAAAGATCATTGCATAGCCACAACCTGTTTTGGTAGAAAAAAATAAATGAGAAGAATTTTAGTTTGACAAAATCCAATAATTTTAATAATATGAGAAAACTTTAAAAAAAAAAAAGTTAACATTCGAAATGCTTGAAACGTAATTTTATAACCTATCATAATATCATTGCTTATATTATAAAATATAGTTAGCAGCACTGATAAAGAGGATTAATATTACCAAACCTTCAATGATTCTGCAAAAGTCCCAGCACGTTGTAGGTCCACTGCTAGAGAATTGACCAATCACAGACTCCATAAGAAATATAGGAATGCCCACAAATATAAGCATTGTAAAGTAGGGTATAAAAAAGGCACCTGAAAATGCGTGAATAAAATGACGATATGCAGTAATAATCAGTACTTATAAAACATATGTTCGGGTAATTTAACTTGTTTTCCATATTCCGTTATAATTGATTGTTATGCATATAGTCACGTAACTTTGGTCAAAATTTAAAATAATTTACAATACTTTTAGCAACATTCAGTGTTTATCTACAGTACATATATCAGGAGCATTTTCACATTTGGCAAATAACTTAAAACAAAGTAATTTATCTTAATTCTACTTGTATAATAATATCGAAAGCAGTGGTTCTCAAAGAGGGAGTACCACCCCCAGGGGTTGGTGGGATATCGGGGAGGGGGCGGTAAACGCTCAGCAGATTTAGGGCGGCGCTGGGACTACTTAAAGGGGCGGTGGTGGATTAAAGCAGAGGACACGTCTTATATATAAGATTAATTGATTTTTTAAAAAATGATTAAAAATTATTGATCATTATCGGCCTAGAAAAAACAACAACTCATGACCATGAAAGGCATCTGTCAAATAATGCACAAAAAAATAAAAACCCAAAAAAAACAACAACAACAAAACAAACACAAACAAAAAAACACGGAGCATTGTTATGAATGTCAGATTTTGATACTATTGAAAGGTTTTTAATTTATCAATGGCAATACTATTGAAAGGTTTTTAATTTATCAATGGCAATGCCTTGTCAGAGATGGTCATGCTTATAGGTCAAATATAACTAGGCCCTATACGTATCATTTTATTTTATGACTGTTTACATAAAAGTTTGTTCGTCTTAATACAGATGGCAGTTGAACGTTTTTTTATAAAGGAGATTGGCGTGACTGTGCATAATTTGACTTTATTTATTTATTTATTTATTTAGGCATTTTTATATAGCGCTTATCATAAAGCTCTAAGCGCTTTACAATTATTAAAACATGTAAACTAAGTAAATACAAATGAGACACTAGGATAGTAACTACTATTCTATAGAAACAATGAAAATGGCTATAAAAAGAGGACACTTTGACACTTCAGGATTAAACCGAAACAGAAAATTAGGTAGGGCAAGGAGGGTGCATCACAGGTCATAGGCGGACCTAAACAGATGAGTTTTAAGGGACTTTTTGAAAATGGACGAGGTTTCACTTTACCACTAAGGAAGTTTGTTTTTAGCAGTTTTAAAACAAATTCCTAATTTCTCTGCTCTTTATTGTTTGGTTCATCGCCAACATCTGTTAGATACAAACTAAACATTTATTTACGTTCACAGGTGTGAGTGTGCAGGTCGCTTTAAGGAGCTATTTATTTGTTCTCTCAGTGCTGACCCCAAAGTCATGAGACACGCCTTAGCTGTTGTCATATATAGTTGCGGATTTTAATAACATCAGTTAACTTTTTATGGAAAATGATTTCAATATTATCTAAACCAAATGAATTAACCCTAACTTCATATCTAAATTAACTCTACTTTCATATCTAAATTAACTCTACTTTCATATCTAAATTAACTCTACTTTCATATCTAAATTAACTCTACTTTCTTATCTGAATTAACTCTACTTTCATATCTAAATTAAATCTGCTTTCATATCTTAATTAACTCTGATCATTAGATATATTGACAACTCTTCAAGTCCGTCGAACCTAAAAGGGAAAGGGAAGAGATGTTAAGAGGATAAAGTAAGTGTTTTCACTAGGGGTGGGGGTGGGGGTGGTGATACCGAGTGCGGTAAACCCATAATGCCAACCTCCTTCTTTTGAGACTTAGCCATGGATCTCACAGAGTCTGCCTGCTCTGGTGTCAATCTATTTGGTTTGGAACCTTATCTGACATAACCTTCTCTCGTGGCAATCTACTCTGATGACACCCTTCTCCACCTCATGGCACCCTGTTTTGGTGAAAGAACTCTCACACCCTTTTCTTGTGACAACCTGCTATAGTGAGACTTTTTCTGGTGGCAACCTGCTATGGTGAAACGCTGCTCTAGTAGCAAACTGCTATGGTGAGACACTTTTCTGGTGGCAAAGTAGGCCTACTATGGCGAGACACTGTTCTGGTGGCAACCTGCTATGGTGAGACACTGTTCTGGCGGCAACCTGCTTTTGTGGTACTCTGCTCATGATAATTTTTTAAATGGACTTGAGTTAACATTGTCAAATGTGCAATTTGGCACCATTCTCCTGTAAGGGTGTCCTCCGGTGCGGTACACACCCCTTAGTGACGCTACTGTTTAAATATATTGTGACCATTTTAATACGGTAAATAAAATTGTGTCTGACCTATTTACGGATCTTCTTAAATTTAAATTTCAGAATCTAGGAGAAATCCATCTTAAGTTTTAGATGACTTAATTAGGTCGTTTTGATGAATAGCTAATTCAAAGCCGACACCAAAGTTTAGGAAATATTATTTGAATTTTTTGTTTCACAAGTAAATTTCCTAAATTTTCACCTGGTCATGTTATTTTGGTGGTTGGTCGAGAAACTCTATCGTGAAAAGAAACATATGCACTCTTTCTGAAAGTTTTGGTTTAAGAGTGTTTTAAGAACACACCCAGAGCATTCAGTAATCATATTTTAACGATGCATAGGCATAATTAATTTCCAAGGGCCCAATCATAATCTTACATTAAATAAGCTGTACTTATTATAAGAGTCGTTCATTGCTGAATTATTTTTAGTAAATAGATTTTAAACATTTTAAATAAAAGTTAAATTGCATGTAACAATACAAAAATGTATTGTGTTTTAATCTTTTTACAGAGTTGTGCTACCCTCTGTCCTGCTTAATATATTTTTGGTAGCACGGGGGGGGGGGGATTAGGGTTAGGGGGAAAGGGGGGCTAGGAATGGGTTTATTGCGCCGGGGGCAGGGGCGGAAAAAGTTTGAAAACCACTGCTTTAAAGTCAGTCTTTGGTGTTGGCAAGAGTTTACACCCCAGTGAAAAAAAAGGGGGGGGGTGGGGCATTTTAAGATATTTTTTTTTGGGGGGGGGTAGATTTATTTAAATTTCAAAAGGGTGTGGGCAGTGTTGGACTGAACCGGGGGGGGGGGGCATTAAATAAACATTTTGGGGAACTCAAAAAGGAAAAGAATGTTGTGAAACATGGGTGTAGGTGATACAACTTTCAATGATGATATGACATAGTTCTAGCCATGTCAATGGTCGACTCATATCAACTTTGCAGATGAGGGTCATCTTATCTTTGTTGTGATCACATTTTAATTTCCGGTCTAGGCCCAACGTTCAGATCTTGGGTGACAGAGAAACGCTCGCTTATATTCTCTGGCTTATATTCTCTGGCTTATATTCTCTGGCTTATATTCTCTGGCTTATATTCTCTGGCTTATATTCTCTGGCTTATATTCTCTGGCTTATATTCTCTGGCTTATATTCTCTGGCTTATATTCTCTGGCTTATATTCTCTCGCTTATATTCTCTCGCTTATATTCTCTCGCTTATATTCTCTCGCTTATATTCTCTCGCTTATATTCTCTCGCTTATATTCTCGACCCGGTTATCAATTTTTTTATGTAACACCTTACTTCACGTGACCCAAGTAGTAGCTTTATGACTGTGATCAATTAGGACACGATATGATGTGCCTAAATGTGTAATTAAAATAGACATTGCAGTTTTAAGCTAAATAAATAATAATTAATGTGTATTTGGCCAAACTGGTCATTGTGCAATCCTAGTACTCACCTCCTCCATTGCTGTATGCCAGATATGGAAATCTCCATACGTTTCCAAGGCCAACAGCAAATCCAAGACAAGAGAGCAAAAAGTCCAGTTTGCTTGTCCATTGTTCTCGAACATGCTGGGAAGTTGTAAAATAAAGAGTCGTTTATACTGGTTGAGTATTAAGGTGGTGATCATCTATAGCAGGGGTCGGGAAAATTTTTGTCTGAGAGGGCCAAGGACACCACATATTTTGAAACGTAATTCTGTGAGAGCCATACATTATGTTTAAAACTAAAAATTCAAGTAAAATGTGTGCATTTTGTGTCTTTTCAACACTAAAATGCAATAATTATGTCTCTGAATTCTTTTTTATAACATTTTTATGCTGCTGCTAATCAATAATGAGTACTTCTTAACATTAATGCGACTTTTTTTTATAATCGAACATTTGTCTGCGAGCCAGATGCAGCCATCAAAAGAGCCACATCTGGCTCGCGAGCCATAGGTTCCCGACCCCTGATCTAGGCCTATATCATCGTTTGAAATCTATTTATATCAGTAATATTAAATTGCGTTATTTCTGCATGTTCCTTTCTAAATTGATTATTTTCCCACATTTTATTGGGATATTATTTTATTTATAGCCTTTCCCTTGTAAAATAATTGAATAATTTATTTTTATTTATAGCTAAATATAAGTACACTAACAATTCAATTGAGGAACTTATTAAAGCCCAAATGAGTCAATACCATTATAGGATTTTAGCCTTACAACTAAAGGTGATAACAAGAAAAACATTGTTTCCATATGCACCTGCTTATGATTTAAAATAGAACATCTTGCAATTTCTGAATAACGGGACTAGTATCCCATTGTATGATATGTCATTTATCGAAAAATCCACCAAAATGAAAGATTATAAATTTCCATATTGACATTGAAAAAAAAGAGTCAATTTCTTGTTTAGTTTGTCTTTACTTCATTAATGAAATTCCGTGTAGTATTAGTAGCTAAATTTAGCATTCCAATTTGTTTTCCTTGCCGAAAAAGTTCATTGTGAACGACTGATCGGTAGTCTGGTCATTTTGAACTCAAAGCAATTCGCAAAAAGACTTCTTGATGTTGTTGGTTGAAAATGTTGTCTCATGTCTAGTCTATAAGTTGGTCCAAACATTGACAAGATTTAATCTGCTAGTCTCAAGATTGTCGGATATTATAAATTATTCTGCAACCGATTGGTACGCCCTGGTCACAAAAGCTTCAGTTACATTCTGAATGCAAGCTCGACTTAATGTGGGAACTATGACTATGAGGCAGAAACTGTCCAATCGCCATCATGACTATACTATATCATTACAAGTAATTAGTTCAATAATAAATTAAGTACCCGCCTCTCCCCTAAACATTGGATCCATTGTTGCGTGACCACTAAGAGGTGCTGAGGCCCCTAGGCATGTGTTTCATTTGACTTAAGGTTACCCGGCTCTGCTGTTGTCACTTCAACAAGCTCAATGCTTAGTACTTAAGGTTAATCCAGCACTGCTATTGTCACTTCAGCCAATTCACTGCTCAGTTTTCCCGAAAACTGCGCTAAATGGGATACTTAAGCATACCACAAGCGCCTTTGCTGCGTAATATTTTCTTTTGTTTTACGGATAATATTTTCCTTTCATTTACAAAAATAGTCTCAATTTATAGATGGTTTTATATATCTGTGGTATAAAAGGGGGTTGGATATTAGAATTTTAATATAGTTCAGGGCTCAGGGGTGTGAAAAAGTGGGCGCTTGCTAACCTGAGGAGGTGGGGGGGGGGGGAAGCACTAATGGGATACTTATGAAGTATGTTACTTGAATGCATGTTTTGTCAAGTAACTTAAGTAAATGGGAAGTTCACGCCATTTTTTACGGGCTATAGCTGTTGGTGTAATAAATCTGCGGTGTATGGGGGCGGGGGGGGGGGCATTAAGATATTATGGTAGTTCAGGGGCGGTAGCGTATTGGGGGGGGGGGGGGGAGCACTAATCTTATAAAAAGCGTTACTTGAACTTGAATGCATGTTTTGTTAAATAACTTTAGTAAGTAGATGGGACGTTCACGTATTGCGGCCGCCATTGTTTGGCAGGCTAAAGCTAGTATGATTCATATTTCGTTAAATGCGCATTCAATTTATCACACACATTTTCAGAAAGTTTATCCATTCTATGACGTACAGTATTTTATTATAGTTGGTCTTGTTCCTGGTTCATCCCGGAGAATCCATGTTTATTTAGCGTTACCAGTGGTGTGGGAAGGGGTGCGAAGGGGGCGGTCTTCTATTATTATTATTATTATTATTATAAAAGACTTTCTTTCGCATATCCATGGGGTTCGTAGCATAATTTTTTTGCTGTCACACGTGACCCTCTCGTTCGGTCGATTCGTCTTCTTCGTGCTAACCTGAATGGTCGCATGTGGGGTGATGCCACAGAGTTACAACGTCTCTATGCTGCGTAATAACCACCGGTCATAACTGTATGATTTTGGGATGGGGGTGGGGGGAAAGTGTTAGGGCAGGGCTTTTTGACTATTAGATTGATCAACGGACGGCAAACGACCAGGACCAGAAGTAAAAAAAAACAACCAGTCTATAATTCTACTTTTTAGCAAAGAGCAAAGTTTTTTTGTAAGCAATGGTTAAAAAAAAATCTTTTGTGATAATTTCCATATTAAAATGTTCATTCTCAAAAGTAGAATTAAATAAATATAAAGACTTTCGTTGGAAAGCGATTTTAAAATTGCACTTACCGACCCCCTGGAGCCTCTGTATGCATGTCCACTTTCTATTGTTGCTACTGAGCTAACCTTCATTTTTTAAATAAGTTGATTAAATTTTTTATACGAATCAATTTCATGATTCACTGTGCACCATAGTAAGAACTGCCAAGACACACAATATAGGTAATGAATGTCCATCCATAGCAACCTATTTAGTACGCACCATTTACAGCACTCTTGAATGGGTTCATTTTTGAAAATTAGTATCTCCTTTGGGGGGGATTTCAAACCAATAAGGATTACAATTCAAACCATCTTTGAATGACCGCGGGAGAAATGCTGAGAAAAAAAAATTAAAGATATACTTTCTTTCCCATCCCTCCTCCCCCCCTCCAAGAAAGTTCAAATTCAAGTATTATACGCAATGGAAAACTGTGTCTTGGAAGGTGTGAAATCAAAGGGAAATAAAACAAAACTAACACTTAATCAAAAATACAATTGTCTACCTTACCTCCCCAATACGGTGCAGAGATAATAGTTAATCCTTGTTTTTTCCCAAAAGATTAAGTTGCCTATATTAATTTCGAAGCCTTCCAATGAAAGCTTCCAGGTTTAAACAATTCAAAATCTGTTAAGATATACATTCTATAAGTTTATCTACTACATTAATTTAAATGTAAAGAAAAAGTTTGAAAAATAGTTAAAATAAAAAAATTAAATTGTCACCGTAGCACGAGAAATTTAACATGGCGTAGCACATCAAAATGGAGGAAAAGAGAGACATCTTTGATAATAATATTGTTTAGTTTAGCTTACAAGCTGTATAAGTGCTAATGCTGAGGCAGTAGTGATCTAAACTGTATACAATGACGGAAGAAGGAACAGTTTTGAGTTTAACCGATGATGAGGATGATTTAGAGGATGAGCCTTTACCTGAATTGTCCGGAACATTGTGCAAATGGACGAATTATTTACATGGTTGGCAGGACAGATATATTGTTTTGAAAGACAGCGCAATAAGTTATTATAAATCCGAAGATGAAATAGCATTTGGTTGCAGAGGTGCTGTATCTCTCTTAAAAGCAAATGTTACTGTAAGTAATACCTGAGTTAACTAAAGCAGTAATACTTTTAATTAAAAAAAGTAATCACCACAGACTTGTATTGCCGATAATAATAACTTTAATAACGAAGTGGATGCATACACCGCGGCGGTGTACCTAGCGAAACCATCGGCTTTGGCCTGCGTAAACCGCAGCGGTGTACCTAGTGAAATCGTGGGTTTTGGCCTGGGTACACTGCAGCAAAAATGTACCATTGGCCTGGTTTTAAGATATGCCTGTTAGAAAAGATCTTGTGTGGTCAAGTGGTAGAGTGGACGCTTGGCGATATTATATAATGAGATCAATTCCGAGTTTTTTTTCCCCATTTTAATTAAAAATCTTTTATATTTAAATTATCATGTTCATTTGCAACAGTAGTTTCATGAGAAGTTTTTAAATATTTTGTAGCAATTTAAACAATTTAAATATATGTTATATTCAGGTTACGAAGTGTCTACACGTCCGGCGCGCCGGACGTGTAGTGCGCAAGATACACGTCCGGCGACTTGTCACGTGACCGCCGGACATGGCCGGACGGCTAGTAGTTTTTATAATTCCAAACGAAGTACGATTTAGTACATCTTGTCTGGTCTTGTGGTAGAGTGGTTGCTTGACGATAGGAATGTTTGAGGATCTATACCGGGGATAGGGTCGTTTTTTTTCTTCCCATTTTAATTAAAATATTTTGTATATATTTATATTATCATGTTCCTCAGCAACAGTAGTTTCATGAGAAGTTTTTAAATATTTTGTAGCAATTGAAATAATTTAAAATGAAATCTTTAACTTTTATTGGTTGCCACACTGGCCCCTAATTTATTTTATGGATTACTGGTACACAAAAAATAACAAACTAAACAAAAATGTTTACAAGCCACTTTCACTTAAGTTTCTTTTTCTATTATTTGCATTCAAGATACTCAGTACATTACTTGGTAGAGAAATACATTTTAAAATTAACAATAAATTTGAATTATTCACAGTCACGTGACAAGGCTGACCGACAAGATATCTCTCGCCACTTTGTTACGGTGGTCATGTGACTTGGTCGCCGGACACATAGTGCGGGAGATAGATGTCCGGCGCGCCGGACGTGTAGACGTGTATTAAGTGTTTCAACATGTTGCCTTTTAATTTGAAAATCCCGGTAATATTCATAATAAGACATTAGAAAACAAACTGAAAGTTTCCAAAAGCGCATGTATAGTGTATGTAACGTTTATAAGAGAAACATTTTGAATACTAAGTTACTAGAGTGATATTTTATTGTATTTCAACATTCATCGTGTAGTTGAATAATATATTGACATTTTACTTTTACCAACACCCAAAGAAAATACCAGTATATCAATAATATCATATGAATATTAATGTGCATGGTTGTATTTCAACCATCTTGCTTTCACTATACATTGGCAAAATGTACACACGATATCAACGGTTCATTCACAACCCTCAGTCTCACAGCAAAACTTTTCAAAACACCACGATTTTAGAAACTTACGGCGCGGTAGCAAACTGTATAGCAAAGCCATAGCTTTAGGTCTGCGTTTACCCTGTTCATGACGAAATTTGTTTCCAGAATGGCGTGGCATGTGCTATTCTCAGGGTAAAACACAACGTTTTCCCACAGAAATCATTGCACAAAGCGCTTGGGACAGGATTTGCGCTATTTCAAATTTTTTTAATTTGTTATTTTTTGTTAAGACATTGATCCTTGCTGAGGTTTGGAGGTGAGTTATGGGCAGAGGCTTAACCAAAAAGGGGGCCTACACAAATCACGGCTCTGGATAGGGGTTGTCCACAAAGGACGTCCGCGCAACAAACTTACCTTTTGCATCCCCCCAACCCGGAGAGTGTTGGGGGGGGGGGGATGCTGATGTCCGCCGGCATTTTTTACTAATGTGTAATGCCAATCTAATTCAATGATAGTTAATTATTGCTAAAAGACTTTAAAAAATCGCTGCAGTTTTTCGTATTGATCATCATACTGTTGTTTTGTGTTAACAATTGCTTGATATCTGTAACACACATGCTCTGACATCATTATCACTGTAACTTATTTCTTAGGCTGTGGGTTATGTCAGTAGCACGGTTACTTGTTTTAAGTTAGTAATTCAGAATGCCGGCTAAGACTTCATCGTTCTTCCTCGTATTATCCAGGCACGTAAATAAGAATACTGAATCCTGGTTAAACTGACAGTACTTTATTAAATCACAGTTTACACAGATAATATTAATAATAATCCTGCATGAATGTAATCATTTCACATATATATATATATAATATTCCATCACTCAGAAAGACACGTCCTCACACTGCTATAACTCAGCTCAACTGTACTACATCTCAACTCTAACTCAACTCCGACTAACTCTGACTCTCCTTGCGCTCAGCTCTCCTTATCTCAGTCAACTCATACTTTATTACCAGCAAAGCGTGGAAAACAACCGCTCTGACAAAAATATAATTTTACTCTCCAAAAACGTGGAGCTCACATTGTCCTCTCAAAATACATGGTCAACACAATTCACTGTTCACTCATGCTACCTCTCTGTTTTCATGTGAAAACATTGTCCGTTACAATATCACAATGTCAATGCCTCGGACAACTTTAACTTCACCACTTCATGATCTATGTATGTGATTCTCTTCCCATAATGTCTTTGTGGCGTAATTATATGTTGGTGCTAACAAAATAGATACACTGGCTTCCCATTCATTTTTACACCGCCTCCCGAGGGATCATATACAATGTTATAATTATAATGCCTTCCCCCCCACCCCAAAAAAAACATGGTTTAACGTTACACCCCCAGACCGCTCCCTTCCAATAAATAATAAGAAATGCTCTACAAGTACTTTGCTACGTCAGCGTGGAACTTAGTCAATATCTTCCTCCAAAGGGGCCATCCATAAAGTACGTCACGCTATTTTTGACCATTTTTAACCCCCCTCCCCATCACAAACTGTCACAAATCTCGGAACCCCCCACCCCCCTCCTTAAGTACTTCACACTTTCGAACAAAATTTTTGTTTAATTAACCCCTAATTAAAATTTAATCTAAAACACACTTCACTATTAAACTGTATTGAAATATAAAATTTCCACTTAATTTCCACTATCACATTATTAAAATGACTTTAATAGTAGAATAGTTAATTGTCAATAGTTGTTACAGTTATTCATTGAAGCAGTAATTCAATCTAGATTGAATTTGAAAACAAAAATTGCAAAAAATTAGACTAGACAATTATATAATACACATCATTTACCTGCTGTTTTTTCATTTACAATAGGTGAGGTCAAGTTTTAGATAATCTTCCGATTATGCAATCTTTTACACAGGTTAAGAAGTATACCAAATGATTAAATAATAAAAAGGACAGTGACAGAATTATGCAGCGAACAACATAGAAATAATAATACTTCAGGAAATACGAAAGCAAGGCTATACATAAAACAAGGCTTCGCAACAGTGTACTAGCGCTACTAGCGAGAGGAATCGTGAACAACACATTCAGGAGATTTGCATTTTATGCTATTTTGACATAAAGCTAATTCAAATGATACAGAACATTTTTGAAAATTATTCTTTAAAGCTATTAAATTCCACTAAAAAAATAAAAAATAAAAAATAAATTAGAAATAAAATTTAAAAAAAAATGTGTGACGTCACACATGGCCTGACCCCCGACCCCTTCGTCACAAACTGTCACTTTCTTACACTCCCTCTCCCCTCTGGAGCGTGACGTACTTTATGGATGGCCCCAAAGGTACTAAACGATTTTTAAATAAATAGTTTTCAGTTTTAACAAGAGTATAACATTAAATCTACAAGTACCGGTTAGGCCAAAAAGTTAAAGACTCGCAAAGACCATTGTTTTGCTACTTTAAATCATTGCGGTGTACGCAGGCCACAGACAAAAATTTAGCTAGGTACACCGCCGCGGTGTATGCAGGCCAAAGTCAATAGTTTTGCTAGGTACACCGCCGCGGTCTACGTAGTGCCGGCCTAATAATAATTGAAATTGAAATGATATTGCAATTTTTAAAAAAAAAATCGCTAAAAAAAGTTTATCTTGAATTCAGTTAGTGATATAGCTAATGATGTCTTTCAATATAAAATTGCATTTAACGTGCGTAAAGTATTTCTTCATGAATTTCTCATTTTTGCATAAATCATGGCTCAATGTTCAATTGGCCCCCCCCAAAAAAACAACAAAAAAAACAAAACAAAACAACAATCACAACAAAGCAAGTTGCTGTGGATGAGTAAAATGTACTTTATTTTATTCACGGATTGCTTCTAAAGTTAACTATTTTCTTTTTTGATTTTAAAATGCCAATGGAATGTATTTTAAAATTAATATTTCAAAGTAATAAAAGCGAGGTTATTAATACCAGTATTAATACCAGAAAACTGGGTTCTCATTTTGGCTAGTTGAGTCAGATCATTAGATTTAGATAAATGGCTTTTGACTTTATTGATATGATTTTTATTTTATTTATGGTGGAACCTTTAATAAAGTGTGTAAAAGTGTAATTACAGTATGCGAACCAGCTGTCGGTAGGGTTTTCATTATTTTGAATATTTTTCAAAATAGTTTTAATCTATTTTTCTTCAAATTTATGGTTTTCTCACTACAGTGTGTAATAGTAGGGTTGGAAGATTTATGCTCAAGTTAGGGAGGCTGATATGCGCTTTGAAGATTTTTGCTTGAGTTAAGCTAGGGCAGTGGTCTGCAAATCGCAACTCGTGAGATGCATGCCGCTCTTTAATGTTGGCCAGAAATTGGTTTTGACTTCGAAAAACATGGTTCATGACAAGAAATTTGGCCCTCAAACATTTTTTAATCCCTCTGTTGCTGATTTTTGGCTCTTTTGATTAATGAGATTTCCGACCGCTGGGCTAGGGGCACTGAGTTTTCACTCTATGGACATTTAGCGTTCAGGTTAGGTAGAGGAATATATTTTAAGTTTGAAGATTTTTCTCCCCACAAAAATTAATTAGATATGAATTTTTTTTCTTCTAATTTAGAAAGAAACAGTTTCTGTAAAATTTGATTTGTTACTTTTTTCAATTACTTATTAAATGTTTTTTAATATAATAATTTTCATGCAACGGAAGATTAAAAAGGTCATTTAAATTTTTTTTATTCTATAAAAAAGCACATCTCATCATTTTCCTTATTTTTATTGGTCTCTGTAAGCAGCTAAAACACACTCTCTCCCTTTCCCCTCCACAATTTCACCCCTTTTTTTTTGCACTACTTTTGCTGTCATGGCAACAAAGATGGTGACAGTGTGAAAGATTGTTAAAAAACACAGTAAAATAGGGTGATTGGTCATGCATAAAATTACCAAATCATGAATTAAACTTACTTGAAAACTTACGCAAAATGAAAACTTTGAAAACATGTGGATGCCAGTAAAGCTTAAATCGCTGACAACGTTTCCATTCATATCTTCATGAATTAGTATTATAATTAGTATTCCGCAACAAGTTTTGGCACCAAGATATGTTTGTGACCTTATTATCATATCTTAGAGAACTATCCAGTTTGAAACACCTCCAATGATGTGATTGCTGTGACATAACATAACTGATATAATAACTGTTGTTTTATTTACTTAAAATGCACATTTACCATATATTGTTCATGAATGCTCCTCAGGTTTACTTGCTGCTATAATTGGTTATTAAAAAGATTTAGCATTGGACTTATAGTTTTTGAGCTATAATTTTTTTAAATCCAAGGCTACCTGCCAGGGCAATTCTTGGGTACCTGATTTTAAGAAGTTTTTTTTTTTTAAATCATAAAAAACAATAAAATTAGAATTTTTTTATTTTGACGCGCCCACTATGGCCTGTTATTCCCACTAGTGCTTGTCTGCTAAGGGTGGCGATTGCACGTTTGGTGGATTGTCACGTTTGATGCATCTTCAAGTGCAAAGAGTAGAAACTAAACTATAATACATTTTTCGGCTAAAGTTTACTGCAGTTCTTGTCAGTTCTTGTCTTATTTTTAAAAATGAAAACCTGTGGGTCTATATTCTAAAAAGTTATGAGAGTTCAAAGGTCAACATATCCTCCCAAGCTCATAGTATATGCAACAAAATGCTAAGTGTACTAGATTACCAAGGTAAGGTGATGAAACAATTGAATAGATCAATGTAAAGTTTATGAAATTAATGTAGACTAATAGTGATGATCTTTTAGTTGAAGATATATCTGAAACAGAATTTTGAAATCAATACCATTACATCAGTAGATAATAAAACCGGCCTGCAGTAGTTGGCCATCAAGGTGACCATGGTAATGGCTATGTGGGTCGACGGGTACCAGGACAGATGTGTTTCAAGTTTTTGACAGCTTTAGGTAGTACTTAAGCTTTTAATAAACAGATGTTTGAAACCACATTTTCTCAGGTTAGATTGGACTGTGTAATTTTGCATTGATTCAGTTTTTTTTTCCTTTTCTTTTTGCTACAGCCTCATCAGTTTGATGAATGTCGCTTTGATGTAAGTGTGAATGACAATGTGTGGTATCTGAGAGCAGCAAACCCTGAAGAGAGACATACTTGGATTGAAGCCATTGAACTACACAAAGTATGTTGATATTTAAAGCATTCCCTGCTGTATGTGCAAGTGTATGCCATACACCGACCAATACAATTTTAATTTCATTAGTTATCTATTAATGATATGCCCTGTGGCGGTTGGTGTAATTGGTTGTGCTGATTTAAAGGCATAAAAATAAAATAAATTTACCTTGTTTTGTAGCAGGCTGATTCAAGCTATGGCAGTGAGAACAACTTGCGGCGCCATGGATCCGTACTGTCTCTGGCATCTGGAACCAGTATTTCTCAAGCCTCCACTTCATCATTCAAAGTGAGCATATCATCACCTTTCAAAGCTTAAAAATATGAAATAAAGATTTTCAGCAATTAAGGAAACCACTTCAATATTCTTTTTATTTTTAACAAGTCTGGCTTTAAAACAATATAATGTGTACTACTAATGGAGAGTTTTAATTTTTAAAAGTGAATTGTTTTGGTTTGGAACTGCATAATGGTGGCTTTTAGTGGAGATAAAATCAAGTGTTATATGTTTACTTACTCTTATACTTAGGCCTACTTCATGTCTCTATGCTTGGAAGTGCTTAATAAATCAGTTACCCATTGGAATAACTCAATAATGTTTGAGACAAATCTAACTGTTGTAAAACAAAAGCAGTTGAGAACCAAATGACACCTTTACAAGATCACAAATTATGTATTTAAGCTGCTTAAAGCTGTAATAACACACTTGCACTGTCATAACTCAAATTTGCATCAAACCCAGGTCTATTAAAATTAATGTTATAATGAACCGAATAGAATTTGAGGCTGGGATGTCTGTTCAATAATTCCTGAATGATGAGGCATGAGCAATGATTCATGAGCATGAATAAGATTTGAAATGGCTGGAGTGTTGTGATCTTCATCAGTGATATTTGTAAAGTTCTAAACCCCCCTGAAGAGACTGGGCATTACAAATGATTTTGTGAGATACGATACAAATAAAAATTAAGTAGCTTTGCAAATGAAAATTTTTTACCCCCATAATGTCACTAAGGCAAGTGGACTTGCCAAACTTAGTTTACCATATTCACCATGACATAATTTATTTTTTCATATCCTGTTTGAGTGTTCCTTCATAGGTAAATGGCTTGAAGGCATAGGGCATACAATTATTGTTCAATATGTAAATGAGATGGGTATAAGTAGGGCTCAATAATTTCTTGTTTAGATTCCATTCATCATATCTCTCATCACAGGTTCGGTGATGGTTAATGATCTTGGCTAAATTCTAAACTTTTATATGGTGAATGGTGTATTTTCAGGAATATTTGTTACTTTCCAAATGTCATTAGACATCACATCACCTATTATTTGTGTGGAAAGTGTCAGCTTATAAATTAGCTTATGTGATAGTAGCATCATGCTTGCCCAGAAATTTCCAAGGGATATATGGTCTCTATATGTCAAAAAAGCTGAAAAATCTGCTGATTTCTTCATGTTCAGGAATATAGTGGTTAGTGTTGCAGGCAAAATAATGTTGAGAGTTGTATCATTAGTTGGTCTTTATTTTTATTTCTGTCATCATTTTGTCTGTAGAGTTCAAGCAGTACAAAAAGTTTTCATGTAAATTGACCTCAAATGATATGATTTCCTGTAAATATATTAAAAGAAAAGTTTATTCCTAATTATTTAAGAAACAGATGTTGAGAAGAGGTTTTAAGAAAAAAGAGGAATGGAAATGTATCTGTTATTCTGTTCTTGAATAAAACTTAAGAGATTTTGAAGGATAGTAATATTATCTACCAATCTTTCTGAAATTCATTATGCCATGAAAAATTATATTTCTTTTATTCACCATCAAATAATGGTGAGGTAAAGGAGTAATTGTTTTTGGAGAGAAACTCTTGAAATATCTTTTTATAAATAAAGAATATAGCCAGGAGTTTTGTTTCTGGAAGAACTGAATAATTATTGATTGTCAAAGAGTATTTATTTGAAAAGTTAAGTACAAATTTCAACACTAAAATCTGTGATGAAATGTTTAAAATTGCAGCGTGGCCGTGGTTTGAAAGAAAAGCTGGCGGAAATGGAGACTTTCAGGGATATTTTATGCAGACAGATAGACACCCTCCAAAGCTATTTTGATTCATGTGCCTCTGCTGTAACTCATGGAGCGGTATTGGAATGTAAGTTAATGATGTTAAGATCATTAGATTTTCTGCTGGGTGCTTGTTATTTTGGTGTGATATGATTAATTCTGAGAAACTGATCAGTGTTAAGAAATTATTGCTATCAGATTTTTCCCTGCTCATGGTTCCAGATGGTCAACTTTGGTTGCTTTCCATGTGACATTCCTTTTACTAAATGACTCTCAGATGGTCTCATAAAAACTTCATTTTAAAGTGTCACTTCTTTGGATTTATCTGAACTAAATAAAAATACTTTGAACTTATTAATGTTTCATTACTATTATATTTTGTAACCAAATATTAGTTCAAATGACTTGGTTGCTTTCCATGTGACATTCCTTTTACTAAATGACTCTCAGATGGTCTCCTAAAAACTTCATTTTAAAGTGTCACTTCTTTGGATTTATCTGAACTAAATAAAAATACTTTGAACTTATTAATGTTTCATTACTATTATATTTTGTAACCAAATATTAGTTCAAATATTTTCTGCAATTTATCATTTGCCAGATGTATTTTCTGTGGGAAAAGCCTTTGTATTCTTAAAACATATTGTTATAGTATTTAACCTTTAAATATGATGAATGTATTTTCTTATTTTAAATTTTGTAAAATGAAACATTTATGAAACATGCATACGTTGACTTGTATATTATTTTTGAGTCTGTTTATGTTATATTGAGAAATTGTTGCAGCTAGAGATTTAAGTTAAGTTATTTCTTTCTACTCCAGCAGTTTATGCCTGGTCACCAATATATTAAATGCTTTTAAAATTAGTGAAACTCTGTTTTATTGTTTTTCGACCATTTAAATTCAGTTATCTCGGGCCCTTAATTAATAAATCTCTGTGGTATCTGTAGAATTCTAATCTTTATAGGAAATGTTATTTTCCATATTTTCACCAAGAACTTAATCACTTATTTATTTAGTGAATGAACATGATGACCTTGATGATGATTTTGACATTTCACATCCTGAGATTCATCATCATAGACTAGATGGTTTGAGGGGGAAAGACCTTGGTAAGTCTGATTTATGCAAAATTTATTTATATCTAGTTTTAAATTATAAATGAATGCACATTTTTTAAAATTACATGGTACTGACTAATGTATAAATAATAAGCTCTCATACAAGGTATACAGAATGTACCAAATATCTGTTTATTATAGTAGTTCACATCAAGTTTATGAAGATTAGTTGAAGTTGTTTTTTTTCTAATCAAGTATGTCAACTTGGCTTTCAGCTTCCATTCTGCAACAACATGGGGGTCATGCTGTTGACTTTAAAGGTGAGGCCTTCACTTTCAAGGCCACCACTGCTGGTATCATAGCAACCATGTCACACTGTATAGAACTTATGAGCCAGAGAGAAGAAGCTTGGAAAAAAAGATTAGACAGGGTAAGACAAAGACAAAAAGTGCCATTCTAAATACAGTAGAGCATTTTCTGAACACTGATGATCCGAAACTTTGGTTATCTGAACCACCCTGTCTTTTAAAAAAATGTTAATAATGTAAGCAATTTGCATGGCATGAAGCATTGACTTACTATTATCGAAAAACAATTCTAAGTACTATAGCACATTTCATGTAAAATAAAATAAATTTTAAAGCAATAAATTTGAAAAGTTGATGATAACAGTACAAAAAAACCCAACTAAACAATAATGAAGCATACTTATATAAGGTAAGAATATATTTTATTATATGCTGTAACTTCTCCTGCACAACATTTCTGTTGGAGTGTTCAGTTATATGAAGAAATGGTTATCCCAATAGCCCCCAGGTCCCCATTAGTTTGGGATAATTTTCTCCATACTGTATGTTTTCTAATGGTATGGAAGATAAATAAAATGAAATAAAGTGTTATGTATTTATGTATGCACAAATTTTAAAGCATACTCTGTAATATTTTATTATATTTAAAATTAATTTCTGATGGGCCTTTAAGTTGATCACTTTGTGTTTATGGATGTGTTTTTTTTTTCATGAGTATTGGAGAAGGGGGGATAAAAGTATAGGCAAATTATGTTTATATTGAGATTTATGAAAGGAGTAGATAAACTGATCAAATATCAGTAAGCATTTTTTATAATGCTGAATTGACAGCATGGATAGAAAAAACAACTTTTTTAGTACACAAGAAAGAAGGTATGAAGCAAAGTACACACTGATGAATATAGCTCTAGGCATATTTAACATAACATTATAAGAAGGGTGACTTGTACTTATGTAAATTGGATCTTAACTACTATTGATTGCAACCTTAGTATGTATAATCAAGGAATTAGCCTCAAGCAGCATCAGTAAAAAGGCATCTATTTGTGAGTAAAAAAAAACAACATTGACAGTAAAAGGTACTAGCTTACGTTAAAAACATTGAGAGTTAATGGTATTAGCTTGAGTTTGAAGCTTTTATCATAGCTTTTGAACTAATAAAGGCTTCTTGTTAAGTACATTTTATAATTGTGTTATTATGAAGGAAAATGCTCCCATGTTCAGTTAAAAAAAACCAACCCATTGGAATTCATCAAAATACTGTAAACTAATTAAAATTGTCAAAATTATCTTTTTTTTCTGCATAGTTAAAGTATATCTTGACAACTTCATTCCCTTGAATTTTTCTAATTTCAGGAAGTAGATAAAAGAAAAAAATTTGAAGAGTCATATAAGGCTTTAATGTCTGATAAAACCAAGAAGGTGATTGTTGGAGGACCAGATTACGAGGTAAATACACCAAAATATTTTCTGAACTAATATTAATATTATAATTAAAACTTTGCTTTTATGTTAAATGAGATCATAATTAATTTTGCCAGAAGCAGATTAGATTCTAGGTATTTTATGTTTCTTTGAATCTTGTTCTTAGGAAGGCCCACATTGCCTTATTCCAGAGGATGAGTTTTACGATGCTGTCGATGCCACATTAGACAAACTAGAGAAGGAAGAAGAGAAGGTAGAGATGGTTCATTTAAAATAACTTTTAACTAGATAAAAAAATAATTAAAGCCAGCGATGTGGTCAGGTGAGCCATTTACCAATAATCTTAAGCTTACGATTGTGCACATATATGCTTTAACCCATGTTCCTTTTATTTACAGAAGTGGAGCCTTGACTCTTTTAAAGACTCCCTCAACAAACCTGATCATGTGATCTCACTATCACCATCCCATCATTTTTACAAGGAGGTAAGTACGGGGATTGTTATGTATTTACTGTAAATATTTAACACTCCGAGCTGACCATAAAAAAATATTTCTTTCAACAAAGAGACGGAGAACAACACCTTGTTTCCATGTTATTTGTATTCAAATGACCATAGTTATAAAAATTGTTACTAGAAAAAAAATGAGTCTACAAGAGAGAAAGCAAGGAACTCGACAGATTAAATCTACTTATTTGTTACAAGCATGCCTTTTACCTTTAAAAAATAAAGTCACAGGAAATACCTTCAGCACGAAAAACAGAAAGCATCATTCAAATACTTTTATTAAAAAAAATTGATGAATTCTTTTCTAAATGTAAACAATTTTTTCTTCATTGCTTTACACTAAAGTGAAACTAAACATTGTGGATAAAAGGGCTTTTTGGTACAGTATGTGAGAAATTTGTAGATATAAGAGATGCACTATTGCACTGGCGTGTAAAATAATTCTTCCCCAACACATGGCATCTGTTTGTGCAGATCAATGAAGTAGTGAGTAATCACATGCGGCGCCTTATGACAGAACAGATAGAAGAGAAGGTCGACTGGGTCTGTATTGTTGACCAGGGGGATCTCAAGGTTTTTAAGAGAGAGCTTGAGGAGAATGGTGTACCTATTGACCCAATGAAGGCAGTTTGTACTGTCAAGGTAAGGATCATTAGTATGACTAAGGATGTTAAAAGATTATTAAATTTCCAATCTTTGGTTTTGAAAACAACTATCAATTTAATATTTTGATAAATCAAAGTGAATGTCACTAATGAAAGAATTAATAAACTAGGGTTCCCAAATTATATTTTTGAAAAAATTAAAAAAATTATAATAAAATAAATATTACCATTCCCTTAGTTTTTTTATTTTTCATTATCATGCTCATAAATGTGGTCCATAGTCAAAGGTGAATAGTAAGATAAGATAAGATAAGATTCTTTTATTGATCCTAACAAATGGAAATGTTTATGATTGCATTGTACATTTTCAGCACATAATAAAACAATTTGAACACAAGTATAATTATTTCACTAGTAAAAAAAAACAACAAAAAAAAACGGCCATTCAGTGAGTTGTCTTATATCAGGGACTTATTATTTCTCATTAAGATTTGTGACTTCAGGGGGATCACGCTGGTATATTCGTACAGATTGGGGAACAAAATAATTTTTATATCTTTCAGTCCTCGCCTTGACGGAAAGAATTCGTCAATTCGGGCCAACCCTAAGTATTTGTGATAAAGAGGGTGTAATGCATCATCCAAAATGTGTTTAGTTTTACAATAACATCTTTTTTCAAATAGTTTTTCAAGTGAAGGATGTTTAGTTTGTGTTATGTTCCTAGCTTTCTTGATTAGTCGGTTTATGCTGTGTTCAATATCAGATGTTGAATTCCCACACCAGCAGGTGATACTGAAATTAAGCAGGCTTCCAATTGTTGCACTGTAGAATAAGTTAAGGACTTGTTTGTTTAAGCCAAAATTGTACAATTTTTTTAGGTAGAACAGTCTTTGGTTGAATTTCTTATACAGCAATTGGCGTGCTCATGCCATGTTAGCTTAGTATTAATGGTGACACCTAAGTACTAATATGCCTTCACTTTCTCTACACTTTGATTTTTTATGTTGAGATCTGTAATCTGGTGTTTCTCCCTCCTGAAATCAACAACTATTTCCTTTGTTTTTGAGACATTCAGCTGAGCAAATTGAAAGATTGGAACGGTACCGCTTGAGCTTTGAATATCATTGGTATATATTGTATACAGTAGGACCAAATTGTGAGGAAAAAATCCCTGTCAATGGCAACATTTCCATTATTATTTTTGTTTGAAATTTAAAAAAAAATTAAAAATTAAGGAACCTTAGGCTTATTTAATTCATTCATTTATTGAAATTCATCACTATCATGCTGATAAACATGGTCATTGACAAAATAAAATGTTAAAATATTCCACAAAATTAGTCACGTTTATGGACACAAATGTAATGGAAGAGAATAATGAAACTTTCAGTAAAGTTAAAAGATATAATTATTGATTTTAATTTTGTATTATTAGGAATAAAATAGCCTTTAATTTAAATCATAAGCCTACACACATGATCATGTATCACTGTTATGTATAATAATAATGTAGAAACATTTACTGCATTGTCATACTAAACAAAGCTCAACATTTGTTCAACTTTTGTTTAATCTGGGTCAAATCTAAATTTAGCCGATAAATGGTAGTTGCTGATAAACGAAAAATTTAAATGTCGACCAATATGAACATGATTTCAATGTCAATGTATGGTTTAGCACAGTGGTTGGCAAACTCATTAGTCAAATAAAATTTCTAAATGTCGGGTTCTATATTTTTAGTTTTTTTATACCCTAATGCAAATGACACTATTTGTACACAATCCTGCCTCAGGGTATCACAGGGCATGAGGTTTGTCACTACTTCTGGGCGTTTGACACAAGAATGGAGTGGGAAGGTAAGAATCCCAATTAATTTATGGGCACATTTTTCTGTAGCTTATACATTTACTGGTAAAATAGGTGACGCCATTAGGCTAGTGACTAAAATACATTATCTCTAGTTGTTTTAAAAGAGTTACGGTTTTTAAATACATGAATTTTTTTCATTTTTTTAATTAATAAAAAAGTTCTATGTTGTATTAATTTAATGTCAGTTTTGCATAAAATTCTTGACTTTGTGCAGCAACTCTTGATGGGAGCAGAGTAGTTGAATGGCTGTCCGATGATACATTTATTAGTAATAATGTGATTAAAAGAGTCTGGCCAGCCTCACAAAGAGATGCTCTCTTTTGGTCCCATATCCGTCACATTTCCAAACGTAATGATGAAAATCCTGACTGCTGGATAGTTGTCAACTACTCTTGTGAACATCCAGACTGTACAGTAAGTTATGTTTTGTAGATTTAACACTACTATTTAGACATTTGTTCACCTAGTCTCTACCAATGTATTTATAAAACTTAGTCTATATATCCATTGAAATAATAGGCAGTTTTTTTTTGTTTTTTTTTACATCATTTCCACATTGATAAAGATGGCTTTTAATTAATTCCTTTTTATAATGCATAAAAAAAAGCAAGAGATTCATTCTTTTATTACAAAATGTTTTCTTGCATCTTATTTGATTTTCTATTCACATTTTTTGTCTTCAGTGTCTAAGCTCATTTGGAACCCTGTATTAATATTTTATCTCCAGCCCAACAAATATGTACGAATAACCATGAACGTGGCCCTAATTTGTGAAACAATTATTGAGCCCCCTGCGGATGGTAACATCACACGGGACAACATAACATGTAAAATAACATATACAGCTGATGGTATGGTCATTTTGATTTTTGAACTTTTCTCATTTCTCTGTTTGCTTAGGTTGTAAACAAATTTTATTGCTTTAAATTCTTCTCCAGAAAAATAACTAAGGGCGAGCTTAAGTAATAAAAAGCTTAATCATATTTCTACTTTTTTTTTTGTTTGTTGGAATACTACAGGAAGTTTTCCATGGTGAAATACACCCGGAACAAAAATTAATTTTTGTGAATATTCAAGTATTAAACGATGAAGAATCTTATATTTTCAATGATGTATAATTCATTTGGTAAGTGTTTTCTTGAATTTTTTCCCCATCTAGTTAATCCAGGAGGTTGGGCTCCAGCTTCAGTTCTGAGAGCTGTGTACAAGAGGGAATACCCCAAGTTTCTCAGGCGATTTACAAGTTTTGTTATTGATAAAACAAAAGGCCAAGATATATTGTTTTAATGAAATCTATCGGCTGTTTCTAAAAGTTGACGGCTTGCTGTGGGTGAATATTGGTCAGGTTCACTAGTAATCTGCCATATTGACTGATAGGCCGGTCTGTTTATAACAAATTGTTTAATTTTTATTTATTCCTGTAAGTTTTGCAACAAGTTGATGTATTTATTGGAGCTCAGTGCACGTGTTTATGGGATTCATTTTAAATGGGAGCAAATATGTTACGTTTTGATGTATTATAATTAAAACAAACTGAAATAATCTCTCCAGGCAAAAGCTGGTGATGTTGTGCAGGCCATAACATAGGTGTGGGGTGGTCAGCCAGCCATTTGGTCCAGGCCTCATATTCATATGGGGGGGGGGGGGTCAGCCAGACATTAAATCCAAGCATCATATTACCAGGGGGTGGGAGGGGTCAGTCAGCTATTTGGTACAGGCCTTATATTCACATAGGGGTGGTCAGGCAGCCATTTTTTCAAGGCCTCATATTCACATCGGGGTGGTCAGCTAACCCTTTGGTCTATGTCTTATATTCACATATAGTTGTTCAACCAGGAATTGGATCCAGACCTCATCACAGGGATATATAACTTGAATTTTCAGTTTTAAAAATTTGAATTGTCTTTTTTAGAAAGCCAATGGGAGTCTCAAACAGTCATTGCTTGTCTTGACCACCTACAAACAAGGATACATGCAGCATCCACTAACTCTTTGGGCCTGGCTATTAATTAAGGATAGGGAAATAGTTTTTGATGTATGAATACATTTAACAAAAATGTTTGTCACATTAATGTTAGCCAAAACATTTCTAACCCCATATGTTCACATCACTATGGTGAATGTTAGGATTGTGAGTCAAGGCAATAACAGTATGAATATGTGGTCCATTTTATTTTCATTATTAAGAATGAAAGTTGAACAATTTGAGCAGCAAGTCTTCTGTTTTGTAGGTCTTCCAAACCATTCTTTGTGTCTCTGTAATGATAAAATTGCTCAGAGACGAAGCCTCCATTTTTAGATCTTGATAAAATTCCTGATTGATGTTAAAATCCAATAGTGTGTGTCTTCCTAGGTAAGTTGTGAAACATGCAGAGGAAATTAGATAGCGGTGTTAGCAGTAACATTATTCCAGTGACCTTCTCATTGGTCAAGAAACAACAGATCCAAGGTCAAAGATTTCCAGTGTGTTAAGATTTTACTTTTCAGAATGGTGAGCTAAAATGTGGATACAATGTGTTCATTTTTCTGGTAGGAATTGGTAAAATGATTGAACTTGATGTATCTTTGTGCCAGCCATTTATGTGAACATGTGAACCTAATCCCAGAGTTGTGCATAGGATGATTTTGAAATGAGTGGTTGCAATAACTAAAAGAGAAGGCCAGTGCCCCAGCAACAGTATTACACATCAGCACAAGAGAGATGCTTTGAGGAAACAGACAGACAACTAGATGACTATTATTTAATGTCTCACTTGCCTTTCCTCTTCAAACTTGTAACATTTTTTAAAATTCACTGATGATATATGTTATCCTTTGAAATGAAATTACATATTTTGCCAAGTAGCGTAGCTCATCACTAATATTAAAGTCTAGTTTTGATATCCACTTGTGTTAGGACAGGTTAATGACAGAAAAATGAAATTAAAAAAAATTCCTTATCTAGGAAGTTAAATTCTCATGTCTGTACTATTTAAAGTTTTTGTAAAGAGAAAGAAGTTTAAGTTTGTAATAAATTTCTGATGTCCCTTTGAGTTAAACATTTAAAATGTATATCTTATAAGTTTCAATGCTTATTTTAAGTGATGATGAACAGAAAATGTAAAAACTTGAGATTTTCTCAACCACAGTTATTACAGTGATTTTTTTCCTAGTTAAAAAAAAATAGATTCTGACTACTATGCTGGTGTAGTTACAAATATTTATTTTTACCCCTTGCAAAATCCAACAAATTCTTTAACACAAATTTTATTTCCTCTATTTTTGGTAAGCTTTGTTGAATGAGAAAGTCTCAGATATAAGATTATCCATGAATGATTCTAGGCTAACTGGTTGTTTCATTTGTGTTTATTCATTGTCTTGATTTGCTCATTCAGTCGTCACCCTGCAATCATCAGATCACTGTGTCTTTCTTCAAGATGACCAGTATATTCAGTGTCCATCATCCTTTGATGACCAGTTTATCCACTGAAGTGACCAACAGAACTATGTCTATTCTGTGCCTTGCCGTCTCCTAGTACGGATGTCAACTTTTATCTAACAGATATTCTACATGCACCTTTTGAAATATGTCAAGCTTTGAAATCCAAACTGTTATTATCATATACAGCTTTTGTCTTGTTCTCTATACATTAAAACTCCATACATTTCTTGACATTTTAATGCTCATACTTATGTACATAGGAACAAAAGAAATTTGTTTTATCAATTTCTTGTGTGGCTTTTTGTGTGTAAAATTTTCAAGTTTATTTCTATTTTATTTCTCAAACTCATGTATTATATTAGAAATGAATATCAGTTATGGAGCAGTTTTCTGTCAAAATTTATGTGTATATGTCAGCTATATACATAATATGTTACATAACTAAATGACCTAGTCTGTTATTAATATTATCCTTTTTCAAGATTAGCTGCCTGTGATATCTTTGTAGCAAAAACCCCTGCATTTTAAGTAAACATTGCTTTTGTCTACCTAAGAATATTATATAGGATATATGTAGCTGATCTAGTACAAGTAACGTATATTACCATGCATAACACAATCCCCTAACTTTTCATTTGAAAAGTCCTTAAAATGTCAGGTCCACGTATAACACCATCTGTTAATCTTGTTCCCCTGGAACGGGGAAACATAAGTTATAAGACATTAAGCTCCATTACTCTGCCAAGATAGGCAGTACTTCTTTAGCTGGATTTAAATTCAAAACACTCTAAGGCCTACATGATTCTGTATTACTAGAACTAGAATATTTAACCGATTTAATCAAATTTTATGTGACGACATTTCTGTTCATGGGTTCACGACTCAGAATCTGATGAAAACCTGAATTTAAATTAGCTATTTTTACTTAAAAATTGATGTTTATTCATTTAGGAAAGCAGTGAACATGTTAGAATGTGTGCCCAGCCAAGGGGAGAATATAAATGAATTTCCTGTTGCTATTTGTTGATATAAAGTGTAGCATTTTTGACCATACGTTAATTACATTGCACGTGTTAATGTACGGTACTTGACAAGGAAATGAAAAGCATTTTCCATCTATCATGCAAGCTAAGAAGCTGCAGGGACTGTACAAGTTTATTCATTTATATTAAAGAAAAATTATCAGTTGACAGTTTATGATATATCTTTAAATGATTAGGAAATATTAGTATTGTCTGTTTGAAAAATCCCAGAATAGGCAATATTTTAAAACTCAAATTCAAAATTTTGAAGTCAGTACCATAAAATGTTTATAGCATTATTACAGGTATCACGTCAGTCACCATAAAATGTTTGTAGCATTATTGCAGGTACTATCATGTCAGTCACCATGAAATGTTTTTAGAATTCTGGCAGGTGTCAATTGTCATTATTCTACAATTATGGAGACAACACCATGACCAGTTTTGCTATATTTTAAAATCTGTTTCTGAAAGCCTAGATGTAAAGCAGCCTGTGTCTGGCTGAAGTCTGGATACCTTCAAGTTGTGCTGATACAAAAATCATATATTTTTTATTTAAATTTAAGGATGTCTAACTTGCTGTGGCAACTAAGATTATATAATGTGTACATTTTCTTTCTTCCTATATTGGGTTTGGACTGAAACATGTTAAAGCTTATTATATTCATATTTGCAGGGTTTGGCAGCCTGTTGTGATTGAAGCTCTATTGAAATATTGGTACACATATTCCGCTCTTGGCACAAGTATTTTGATGAGAACATTGAGTAATGAAGTCAATAGAAATGGGTGACTTTGTTCATCAGTCCCAGATTGCCAAGCCCTGAACTTTTACAATTGGTACTTCACTTTTTATGCTATATTATTATTAGTATATACAAGTCTGCACATTTATTGAAGTGTTCTTAGGGTTGCACCCATAATTAAACTGTCAGAATGCTTATTTATTGGGGGATATCAATGATTTATCAATAAGTTTTTATATAATTCTATATTATGCTTCTAAACTGTTTATAAAAAAAGAGTTGGTATTTTAGTTTAGCTGCAATTATAGAGGTTTACTGTATAGGTTACATGGAGCAAGAGTATATTATGACCATTATAACTGGTGAAGATACAGTAGTGAATGGCCAGTCTGATTCTCAAACACTGGCCAGGGGAGAGCATAGCCCCTGTCATCCATACACATGTTTATGAGTAGACAAATTATTTGGTTTGATGTGATCTCTCCCCATTCCTTTTTTTGTGGAAAAACATGATAAATTCAAGTCTTGGCATGATGCACTTGTGATTTAAATGAACACAACACACACAACATTGGTGCAACCCTAGTTTTGTGTGGTTGATGCTATCTTGATGAGCAAAATTCAGCTGGTGAATTTATATTAAATAAAAGGTATGTTATTGTTACAAATATTTAATGTATTGTGTGAATAATTGTATAATTTTTCAAGATTTGGTAAAGTTTGAAAATAACTATGCTAAACGGCTCAAGAGATGTTTCCTATTTCCTTGTTCTTCTCCTTAATGTCTCTGCTGGCATTCTTTTTATAACCCAACTCTTTACCACCCATATCTCGGCTGTTATTGCTCCTATCACAGCTGTAATTTATCCTATCTCAGGTGTAATTGCTCTAATCTCTGCTGAGACCATTTTTGGAACAGCTTCTTAGAATAGCTTGTCTGCCTTCTTGCTTTGATTTTTCTAGTATCTCTACTGCATCCATATGTTGGATCTGCTATCTTTGTCAGACTCTTTCACACTATAATTTTTTAAATCTTTGTCTTCCCTGCCTGCTGCTCCAGGTGGGCATTCATTGTGTCCCCTGTCCTTTGCTTTTGTCTATTTTCCATGTAATCAAATCCAGTGTTTCTGTCCATCTTCTGTGGAATCAAATTTAGTTTAAAAGATTGCTCAATGACATATCACTTGAAAAGTGTATTTAAAAAAAAAAACCAGACACAATCAAATGTAGTTGGCATTGGCATTAGAGAAAATTTTGTAGAGGACCTTTTTATAATTTTGTTTTATGTTCTATATATTATTAAGTTATTGAGGGGATCTGCTCAAAAAGGCTGGATATCAGGCCATTCCTAATTAATATGCTCATTTTTTTGAAGAATATATAATTTAAACATGCATTTAGATAAATGAAGCCTGCTTTGAGCAAGCTTTAGAC